TACGTGTTTGGCCGAGTTTCTCTTCGCATCCGTGTTCTCCTTTTTTTACCTCCCTTTTATTAGTTCGGGATGTAACTATGTAATATTGATGCGCCTAAAAGATGCAGCGATTTCTATTCTCAAGTTACATACAGTACGAATGGAAATTATAATAGCGAGGTTTTAAGTTTTTAAACTATAATTTTATTATGGCTGAAGTACACTCCGAGGGTTGCCATTGTCTGCCGAAGGGCGACCGCTTCTTGTGAACATTCCTGTTGATGTTGCTGGATCCAGAAATTAAACCAGGGATCTCCCGAGTGGCAGTAGGCACCTCTAAGCACTCGGATACGGCGGCAAGAGCACTACTCAAAACCGAAAAAAGACAGAAAATATGCAATAAAGTTTTAAAACAAGTAATTTTTAGCAAAAAAAAAACATATTAGTATGGGACCACCTCTGAGACACTACCTTTCCGGTGCAAAAAGAATTATCGAAGTCGGTTGGCGTGGTCCGAAGTTATGCGGTAACATACATGAAAAGAAATAAAAAATATTCCTCCTCCTTTTTTGAAAGTCTGTTAAAAAGACCGAACGTGAATTTTTCACCAATTTTTATTTTATTTTTTTGTTTTAATTGTGATATACAAAAACTTTGTACTCATTTTGCATTGCTCTTGTTTTGCTGTATTTTTTGGTCATGACTTCACACCAAGATACGCATTTTCACTGCATAAAAATTGTGTAAACTAAAACCGGTTTTTTTCAAATTGCATATTTTCAAATAACTCGAAACCCGGTTTTGAAGAAAAGGCGAATAATCGAATACCCTAATACATATGTATGTACATATGTATATTTATTCTAATCTAAATAAAGAAAGTTAAGCATCAATTTACTATTAAGTGCTCTCAAAAAAAAAAAAAATCATTCAGAAATGGAAACAAACTTTTCTTCTATCAAATCCTAACTTAATGTCTTATACGGTAGACAAACGGGCTCGATTATTTGCATAACCAGCCTTTATTTGCTTTGACTCATGCATTTTCCTCTTTAATATGCGCATAAGCAGCCGAACAAATGCACAAAATTTTTGGGAATTAACTCGGATCCGAGCAGTTTTCGTTGACAACACTGGTCAGCTGTTGTCTTTTCTACAAGTAAGCAAGAAAAGCGAGCGTGTTCCGCGTCCGCAGTAGCCGAGTGGTAAGAGTTACGGGATACAAGCCTGTAGCTGCCAGGTTCGATCCTCGGTTGGAGCGATTGCGAAGTTTTTTTTTGTTTTTATTTATTTTATATTTTTTTTATTTTATTTGATCTATATATTTAATGTTACTTTATTTTGTTTTCATTTGCTTTATTTTATATCACTTTTTTTATTTTACTATCAGTTAATTTAAATTTTTAGAGTTGAATTTTAATAAAAATTCAACAACATCTAACTGAAAGCAACGTAAAAAAAATATGGAACTTATAAAAAAAAGAATGAAAAAAAAAAAATAAAAAAAACATGAAAATTTAATTGGCTCGAATCCACGACCTTGCGTCTCGTTTATCCGCATAACTGCCGTCTGTGAGGTCAAAATTATTATGCGCATATGTATGCCAGATTATATGCATAAGCTTTGCCGTCTGTCACAGCTTTTAGGTTGTTATTCTATGTATATATATTTCTATACACATAAGTACTTATGTATATAGTATGCTGATGTGAATTTGCATATAAATATGTAATTTTTAAGTGTAGAATATATCACTTGCCACTGATCACTTTAATGCACATATATTTATATATAAACGTTATTATAATCTGTTTTTTTGGTCTTGTTTTTGCTTATTTTGTGGACTGTATAATTTGTAGTTAATTTTTATTTTATTTTTTTATAGGTGCCGTTCGCTAAGGCGATGGAGGACCATGAACAATTGGAGCACTATGGTCTTTTACTTTTCTTACCGCTCGCAGATTTACCTAACTTTCACTTTAAATAAAAAGGCGCACTTTAATGGAAATGGTTGTACAATTTTATTAAATTTTGTATTTATTTATTATATTTAAAATGCAATACGTATTCAGAGGGGTCGAAATCCGGGGCTAGAACGATACATCCGCTTTGGCTCACAAACGAAAGATTATAACAGCCGTCATCGATTCGCCAACAGTTAGCGAGTGGCGAAACGAACGAACTCAATGAGGTACAACCGAACTCGCTATCGTCTATCCGTGCTAGCTAACTTTGTTGTTGCTTTCACATGCCAAATTCTTCTTTAAGCGACCGGAACTCAAACATAGCGAGCGAGAAGTGGCGTATCGATGACGGCTAATGAGAAAAAAAGATGACATTTGTTTTTATGTGTGTGTGTGATATGAATATAGAAATATGTACCCTGCGGGGAAAATCTCTAGTTCTGAACTGGTGCGCTTCTAGTACATTTAGACCCAGTACTGATTCGCGATAAATCTGTTTTGCATGCAAGCAACTGGCGAATTTAACATGGCGATGTCCTAGGAAGTGTCAATTGCCCCCCGCTGCATCCCTTTTTCGATAGTTCCGAACTAGTCCTAAATTCTATAGTTCCGAACCAGTTCTAAAAGACGAAAGAAAAAAGTATCATGATTTTTAAATTTTTTTGGTTCTTCCGTGTGTACGATTTTAAGTTTTTTTGAAAGAAATGTGTTTTCAATTTGGAACTAAATTTGTTTGAATGATTGTAAGAAATGTACGTTTACATACCTTTAGCTGTAGCAGAGCTTGCAGAGGTGCTCGCTGTTATTTCTTAGATTCCAGACGGTCCCAAGATGTTGCAATGTTAACACAAATTTTTGTTTTGTATTACCAAGCTATAAAAAAGCATCTGCGAAGCACAGAATAGAAGCGTATTTGAACGAAAAAGCCGCCGAACACATATCTATGTAAAGTAAACAAGACCCCCGCTGCATCCCTTATTCGATAGTTCCGAAATAGTTCTAAATTCGAAAAAATAGGATAGGATCTAGGATCTGCATCCCTTTTTCTATAGTTCCGAACCATTTCTAAATTCGTCACTTTAGATATAGATTTCTAGTGAAAAAACTGAGAAAAATTAGTTTCTTAAAAGTAGCACTTTTCGCCGATTTTGGACTGGTGGGGGTCTAGTTCCTATCGGACTAGTTCCTTTTTGGCGATAAAGACCTAGTACGGAACTATAAATTTGATTCACTAGTCCGCGGTTTCCCGGCAGGGTATGTATAAAGCGTCGACATACATATATTTTGAAATGTGTGCTGTTAACATGGTTGGTGAGGTGTGTAGTGAGCAGACGCCAGGATAATTCACAGTGGCCGGAAGTGCTCATTTAAGCAGGTATACGCATTACTACATACATACATACAAATAAACTCACTTTTAATAAAATGGATCATGAAAGCATTCCTTATTTGATTTCCGGAGTTATTTCCTCGGGATGCGTGGTGATGGGGTTGTTGTCGTACATTATCTTTACCAACTTCTGTCCAATTTGCATTTATATAGTCATTATTACTGTTGCAAATATTGTGCAAAATGCAAGCAGCTTTGACAACAACGTTGACGTTCTTCATATGAATGTAGGTACATCTTTTTATTAACTTACATAAATATGTAAATCCTTGAATAAAACATAAACATTTATGTAAGATTTTTCAATTAAAATATGCTGCCACTGAGATTCAAAATTATAGGTAAAATGGTAAATGGGGTACGAAAAATTGAGGTACTTAGGCGGGTTGGGTAAATAAGCGGGGAGGTACTTAAGAGAGGGATTTTCTTCATATTACATTCAAAAATTCACATTGCCCAAAAATGTTGGTTACTTAAGCGGGTTAGGTACTTAACCGGGGGGGTACTTAAGCGGGTTTCACTGTACATACGTAAACCTGCATCTATAATTCACGCTTGCAAAAAGTATTATTGAGTACCACCCCTTGTAATTATGAAAGTCAATAGCTTGATTTTTGTTGGGTTGCACTCAATATGAGATCTATCAATGGCTTCATAGCATTGTGGAAATCCCAAACGCTCAAACCCCGATACAATTTCTTTTATTTTAGAATTTGATGGAGGGTATGCATCAAAAGACACTTTCATCAAACATGTGCATATGGCCCGGCAAAAATCAAGGACTATTTCTCCGACGGTGGATCTTCCCACACCAAATAAACTAGCAATAGTTCGATACTACGAAGAAGAACCCAATGCGTACAAAGTTATACCCAGCTCTTTTTCCAATGGAATCGCATACCTCCAAAAGGTATCTTTTTTACGCAAATGCTGCAATGACTTTACGAGTTAAACAAACGTGGCTTTGTATACACGAAACTTGTTTTTAAAGGTTTCGTTGTCTAGTTTCGGCACTTCAACCTCCCAGAAGGTGGATGCTTCAACCTGTTGAAGAGTTTATTGATATATGAATATATGACAACTACTTTTATGTATGTACATTAGGGTGGTCCAAAAATACATGTGAAAAAAGTAAAGTCGGAATTTTTATGCTCTCACCCCCTAGGATAGTTCTATACCGAAAAAAGTATACCCTTATTTCTTTTTTTTGAAATCAAAAAATATTTAGAGGTCGCTCAAAGCGCCCAAAGTTTTCCATGTATTTTATATGGGGAAAAACAACTTTTCGTAGAAATGGTAAATGCTTATCTGCAGGAGATTCCCAATAATAATACCCAAGTTTTTATTTAACCATTTTTTCATCGGAACTATAATTTATAGGTCCGTCAAAAACCCACAAAAACCCCGAAAAATGCTTTGGGGCCACAAATAAAAAATCGTTAGTATTAAAATATGGTTAAATAAACAATTGGGTATGATTATTAAAAGTATCCTGAAGAGAACCGGAGTTTTCCGATC